TGTCCGTTTTTATTTATTTATTTAGTACAGGATCAGGCATTCGTAGCCCCACCCTGATCAAATGCCGTGATCAAATGGTGAGATTGGACACCTGGTCTTCTAGTCCGTCTAAGTGCATTCCGCGCTGCTGCTCGGTTTCCCCGACGCGCTTGACCCACCGCCGGTTTAGTGCGCGGCAGAGAGAGCTGCACTTGTGCGACGCGAAGAAATCGTGCATGCCCTTGAGGCCACGGTCGGTGCGACCGAATACGTTCCGTCGGCCGCTGCGTGAGGAGAAGTGGATGACCGGGTCGGTGAATTCGAAGCAAGGCGGCTGCGTAGTACTCAGTACGCCCTGGAGGTCACAGACAAGCACCCTGCGCTTTGTGTACCGGTACGTGAAGTGGGAGAAGGCCTGTGGGATGTCGGAGACGCGGATTTCGGATTCCTCCATGATGTCACGGATCGATGCTGCCTCCTCCTCGTCGGATTCCTCCTCCTCCTCCTCCTCCTCCTCCTCCTCCTCAACGAGTGCGTCGAGCGCACCACCCACCGGCACGGCGCCCTGCCCCTCAACGAAGCCCTGGTTGTCGTTCCACTTCTTGTACTTGGTCGGGTCGAGCTGCTTCTCCACGAGGCACCCGATCGTGCCGAGGCCGATGTCGTCCACCACGTATACGGCGCAATCGAGGAAGTTGACTGTTGGTGTAGTCTGCCGGTCGTAGCCTGGCAGCTGGGCCAGCTTTTGGTTGAAGACGGCTGCTAGCCGCGACGCACGCACCTGCGTGTCGCAGAAGGCCTTGTGGAAATTGATCAGCTGCTGCCGGCTCATGTTGGCCACATCGGCTTGGAAGCGGCTCTCCTTGGCAACCAGCGGCGGCCCGACGAAATCGCCGGTGGGGCCGACCTCGCGGAATTCGCGCACGAGTCGCTCGGCGCCCTCGCCGAAATAGTTCTGCTTGAGGGCTACGCCCTGAGCGTCCAGGGTGAGCGGCGATGTGTCGAACCAGCCGCGCCGTGGGCCGGTCGGAACCCACAGAAGACGCGCGCCGCGCCAGCCCTGGCCGAGCATGTACACAAGCCAGTCGGAGGTCGGCCGTGTGTCCTTGCCAACGGTGTCGCGTGCTTGCCGCAGAACATCGCGAACTGCGCGCTGCGATGAACCGCCAAGCGCGGTCAGCTCGGTCTTCGTCGCGTTGATGGACGAGGACATTGAGCTGATGGCCGTTCCCAGTGCGTCTGCGTTGAGCTGCGCCGAGAAGAAGCGGCCGGCGCTGCCGAACTGTGCGGGCCGCTCGGCGAGTTTCTGGAGGACGCGAAAGTCCTCGCCAGGCCCGCCGAAGCCCACCGTGTTGACAGATAGGCGTCGCCCAAAGCGGCTGGCAAGCGAGTCAATCCGCTGGCCCATCAGCGTCGCAAAGGCAGTCATCATACACGACTCTCCACGTAGCATTGTGTTCTTTGGTAGGCGATCGCTCGGCTTGCCGTCGCTGAGAAAGAAGAGCGTGAGCGCGCATGCGCCGAACTCGTTCGAGTGCAACAGCTGCTCAGCCGCATCCAGCGCGGGAATGTAATTGCCGTCAAAGAAGGGCTCTTGCGTCCGAAGCAGATCGACAACCCTGTTGAAGAGTAGCCAATCGTGCGGCTGACGGTCAATGAGCACGCTACTGTCTCGCCCCATCGAGATGACTGACACGACATCCGTCGCCGAGCGGGAGCCGTCCTCGATATGCTTGGCGACGAAATCGACAGCGAGAGTGAGCCAGACCGCGTCGCTGCGCGTGGAGCCGCCGATCACATCAGTCTTGCGCATAGACCCGGACTGGTCCACGATAACGACAGTGTGCGACGTCCAGCTGCTGACGTCCTGCAGGAGAGTGCATGCAGAGGCGTGTGCACGCTCCATTTCGGACGTGATTTGCTCCTTCTCCACGTCGAGGCCGGCACCAGGCTTCGCCCAGCAGGTGATTTCTTTGGTGAGACTTTCGCTGACGATGAAGACGACGTCTGCGAATTCGTACTTCCAGCAGAGCTCGCCACGCTGGTTATACGAGGCCTCGCGTGTCTCTCGGCCATACTTCAGCGCAGCCAAGAAATCGCGCTTGTGCACGAGGCGCTGTGCGCGGCGCTGGCGAGAATGCTCACATGACAGCAGCGTAGCGGCGCTTGTGTGCCGGACAGACATGGGTCCGACACGATCCGTGAGGCAAGGACGTATTTTTATATTTACCCAAAAGCTAGGCATCATCTGTCTTGCGTCCACCCATACCGCGTCGGTGTCCAGTCCGAGCCTGGCTGTTCTTCACCTTTCTACCTACCTACCTACCTAGGCTACACAACGCCCTCTATGTTGGGTCAAGGCGGGACGTATTTCTCTATCCACACCGCCGTGGCGTGGCAGACGGTGAACGAGCTAGCGTGCGGGGACAGACAGCGGCATTGTGCACGGTGCTAGCTAAGTGCATTGCCGCTCTTAACGGAGTCGCTTAGGCGGCTCCGGTGGTGTGCCGGTGATATAGTACTAGCACGCGCCAGTTCGCACCTGTGTCGAGCCTGTCTGCTGTGAGAGAGAGTTCTTTTGTTTAAACTCTTCTTAGAGAATTTCCTCGACCTACAATTCACGCGATAGGCGAGGCGCCCGAGTACTACTCGGGCGCGGTATCTATTTTCTTTTTTTTTGGCCTGTCAGTATCTCTGCTCTCCAGGCTTCTGTCGCAAAGAGCTGCATGCCACCGAAGGCGCTGTCGAGGTTCGCCGAGCGCGGCGCAGGTTGGTTGGGGGAAGCCCGAAGCCGCCACCGACGATTGGACTTTTCACTCCGGACAAAGACGGGCGCACGCACACGAGCTGCGGTCGTGCGCCCGTCATAGCGGCGAGGCGCGGACCGTCTGTGGCGAAGTGGGTCGCGTCCCCCGATTTCCGTCTCAACCCAGCATCCACACCCTTTACATCATGTATAATACAGTTAATGTGCGTTTCGTAAACTCTCCATAAATACGCTTTTAGGTCTCCATCACACACGACAAACACAAAACACACAGTGTTAGATTTGTTTGGTATTGCTAAAAATCTCTCTCACACGACGACTCACGAGCAGGAGCACGCACTCGCACATACCCGACTCCCGAAATCGATCCATTGTTCTCTCCCATAAATATCGGAGGGTTCGGCCGTGCCACTTCTAACGTAGACCTCGCCACCCACTGCCCCCCGCGCCCCCCCCCCCCCCCCGGGCCCTCTCTGCTGCCGGTACGTGATAACACCGAGGACAGGCGAGGGCCGCTCTTCACGGGCGCTGCGCTCACACCTCCGCCCGCGCTAGTGGCCCTGACGAAGATCGTCCGGAATTCCTTGGGGAGGACATCGGCGATGGGTTGTTGGCCGCCCGCGCGCTGTCCAAGCTGGCCAGCCCTCCAGAGGTCCTTCCGAGCTCGACTCCACCGCTCGTGCTGTTGAACCCGTCGGCAAGCCTGCCATGCTGCCCGGCCCGCACCGGCCTCATCTGGCCGGGGATGCCGCGGGCGCGCGCCCCCGTCGCCGCCGAGAGCTGGAGCCCCATTTTCTCCACCATCTCGCGGGACGCTGCCGACCCTCGCTCCGGCCGGCAAGGAGACTGTGCTCCAGTGTTTCCGCCGTCATCGATCGCCCCTTGAGAGGGAGAGGCGGAGCGCGAGGCCGGCGCGGACGAGCAGGCGTTCCTCGCCTGCAGGAGCCGCGCCACCGCCCGCCGACGCCGGAGGACACTGGCCACGCAGATGGCTGCGGTGGCCGCGACGCCGACGCCGAGCGCCACCACCGTCAGCGCCAATGTGATTTTCCAGAGCTGGGACGACTCGCCGCCGGGCATGCAGGCGCCGCAAACGTTCGCAAATTCGCCGGCCACGCGCCCGCAGGCCTCAGACTCGCTCAGCAAGCCGCCTTCAGAGCTTTGTAGCCACGCGATTCGATCGCCGCAGGAGTGTTCGCCGCTGCCGGCAACATTTTCCCACGCCGAGTCGCAATTGCTGGTGCCGCAGTGAGCTGCCGCACTGCTCGACATGTCACTGGGCAGCGGGTAGTGAGAGAACGGCGTCCCTCACTTGAAAAGAATTTTACAACGGAGTGTGTGTGTGTGTTTGTGTGACAACCCGAGCCGGTCGCACAACACGATTCAGGCGACAGGCAAGGCACGGGCGACGGCTTCCTCAGAAGCCGTCGTCCTCACCGTAGCCGTCGTCGGACCCCCAATCAGGGGGACAGTCGAATCTGCGAGCACCGTGGTGCTCGCCGAAAAGACCATCCCCATCCCACTCCCCCTCATCCCAACCCCCCCCACCCGCGCGCCTACCCCGCCGATGGCCGGTGGGGCGGGAAACCCCGCCCCACCCACCATTGCGCAGCAGGGGTTCGAGGTCCTCGCTGAGCAGCAGAAGCCGCCCAGCCCGGACCTCGTCCCTCCACCCCTCCCTCTCCCACCGGAGTAGTGAGAACGGCGTCCCTACTTGTAAGAATTTAATGCGACACCTAACACAGGTTCTCTCGAGGTTCTCGAGGTGGATATCCTTTGGCCGCGTTGGGTAGCGAGGATTGGTGTGACGCGGATCCACGCAGGCGTGTTTTCTGGCGGCCGACAGATGGACTCGGAGGAGGCACGCACCCGGACAAGTAGAGACACGCACGCCCGGGGCGGGAGCCCTCCCCTTGCACAGCCAGACAGACCTTGCGGCGAGTGGAGTGTTTGACTGGCCCTCTGCCCCCCCTGCCCCCCACCCAGGACATTGCGGAGGACTCGGGTCGGAGGTCAATAAGCCAGACAGTATGAGGCGCGGTCGCGATGGTGCGTGGTGTATGGCGTGCTTTACGTCTCCTGGGATCCGTGTAAGGGTGTCCCTTCCCGTTGACTTGCAAGACACATCGCTCTCGGGCCCCCACAGACCATCCCGCACACCCGCCGCCCCCCAGCGCGCGCCGCACCGCTTGGAGCGCCGCATCCCCGGCGGCGGCTATGGTTGAGTTTCTCAAAACCGACAGAACGCGAGGGTGCGAGCGTCGCTCACTCCGGCGATCCGCCGCCCGTACCGCACCAGAGGACGAGCACTCCATGGCGCCTCCCCTACCGGCCAAGGAGGCCACGCTCTTCAAGGCCATCGTCAAGCACTACGAGCTCAAGAGCTACAAGAAGGGGCTGCGTGCCGCCGACCAGGTCACTGCGCCTGCTCCGTCACTGCCGCGCCAGCCGCTGCTGCCGCCCTCGTGGCCACCGCCGCCGCCGCTCGCTTTCTCCGCCACGACCGCCGCCGCCGCCGCTACCGTCGCCTCCTCGCTCACCGCCCACCCTCGCCGCCTGCTCGCCGTCTGCGCTCACGCTCTCCGCGCCGCCGCTCTTCTCCTCCGCAGGTGCTCAAGAAGTTCCCGGAGCACGGCGAGACGATCGCGATGAAGGCGCGCCCGCCACCGCCACCGCCGCCGCCGCCGCCGCCGCCGCCGCCGCCGCCGCCGCCGCCGCCGCCGCCGCCGCCGCCGCCGCCGCCGCCGCCGCCGCCGCCGCCGCCGCCGCCGCCGCCTGCCGCGACTCCGTCTACCGCGGTGCTCAACCCGCCCACGCCTGGCCTCACGCACCTCGAGGACGAGGCCGCGTATCGCGCCAAACTTGCGCAGGCAGAAAGTGAGAGCCGCGTCGTGTGCATCAAGTTTTATGCGTCGTGGTGCAGAGCGTGCAAAGCGATGGCGCCAAAGTACAAGCGCGTGGCCGACGACTGGCCCGAGATTGAGTTTTGCGAGGTGCTGTTCGACACCAACAAGGCGCTGTGCAAGGGCCTCGGCATAAAGGTCCTCCCATACATAGAGGTTGTGGCGGGCTCGGCTGGAAAGGCATCGACCGACCTCCACCCCGCCGGCCCTGTCCCACCCCACCCTGTCCCATCCCGCCGGCCCTGTTCCGCAGGTGGAGGGCTTCTCCTGCGGGCCGAGCAAGATCAGCTCGCTCATGGAGAAGCTCGAGGTGCACTCTGGCTGCGAGGAGATTCCGTGCACGAGCGTGGCAGACCAGCTTGATATGATCGAGCGACTGTGACCACCCTTTCTGTCCACTCGCACCATGTGAGTGAGAGTGACTCGACTCTCTGTGCGAGGTGTTTGCTTCCCCGCCGGATTGCAGGCAGGAAGGCTCACTCTGCAATGGTCGTCGCGCTATCCGCTAGAGCAGCTTCGAAGGGCAAGGGGGGTGTGGGCGCGTGTGGGCGCGGGGCCTGAGAGAGGACACGTACTCGTACATGTAACGCAGAACGAGATCGCACATTGCGTATGCCATACTTTTACATGCACAGGCTGACCCACAGGACAGAAGTAATACACACACAGAGGACAAGACAGTTTTCTACAGCGA